ACTGTCTAAATTAGGAGTTTCTCTTGTGCTGTCAGCCAGAAGAGTGGATGAGCTGGAGAGGGTGAAGAGGAAGTGCCTTGGTAAGTAAGTAGAACCACAGTGTTTCCTAGAAGTGAATCCTAGAAAGAACCCAAACAAAAAAGAGTTTTACCAGAGTAACAGACAGAAACTTATTTTCTTACCACTCAATAAAGTGGTGGTTGTTATATGCTGTTGAGTGACTTGCGACTCATAGTGACCCTATGTACAACAGCCCTGAAACCTGCTCTATCCTGTGCCAACTTTACTGTCTCTGACACACCTACCCTCATTACCCCCGTCACTGTATCAATCCATCTTATCGATGGTCTCCCTCTCTTACTCTGTCCCTCCATCCTTCCAAATATGATGTCCTTCTACTGGTCCAAATTTCCGGCACCAATTCTAAGGGAAGTCTTTCTTGTAGGCTCTAGGGAAAGGTTCTTGTCACCTTTCAATATTTGTGGGCCCAGTTTTCCTTGGAGACCTCCTTGTATTTTGGCATCGGCCTTAATTTGGGTCTAAGGGGTTCTTAGCATAGAGACTCTGATTTTAAAGGACACAATCTGCTTAGTTCTTCTTTCTTGGTCGCAGTAATGCCATACTTTCTCTGCTTGTCTTTCCTTTTATGTCTTGTAAGATAAAAAGTGATGCAGATAACATCCCAGGATAACTTCCCCTACATGGATCAGGGATGTAACCTGAATGAGGGTATTGTGTCCCACCGGAGGCTCCTTACAACTGATTGGCTGATCATACCTTGGGCATGTTTCAAGGAGAGACCCATCCTAGGAGAGGGACATCATCCTTGGGAGGGTGGAGGGACAGTGCAGTAGAGGAAGACCCTGGATGAGATGGATTGTGAGATGGATTGACACAGTAAGTAGGGTAATAGGGCTAGGTGTGCCAGAGAAAATGAGGTTCGTTCAAGATAAGAGCAGGGTACATAGAATTGCTTTGAGTCACAAGTGACTCAACAGCATGTAACAGCTTCCAAAGAAATTGTTCTAAATTCTGGTGGGTTTTTAGCATATGATATAATCTTGATAAAAGGTTGCCATTTTGCCATCAGTCCTATTCTTCTTTTTGAGAGAAAATTCCTCTGAGCTACTCAGAAATATAAGATAGTTGTTCATTATTGTTAAATAACTTCATATGAATTACAATGCATTTGAATGAATGATGACATAATTTTAATACTAATTTTTAAGTATCTTTGTTTAGAGAGTGGCAATTTAAAAGAAAAAGATATACTTGTATTGCCATTTGACCTGACTGAAACAAGTTCTCATGAAGTGGTTACCAAAACGGTTCTCCAGGAGTTCGGTAAAGTAAGTAGCATGATGTGAACTTGCCTTGAAGTAGCTGCAGAAGAGATTCCCATCCATGTGATCGTTCAAGGGATTGTTAGCAAATGAGCAGCTCTTATAGCAAGAACTGGCAAATGAGTTGGGGTCTTACTAATAGTATTAATCGTGAGAACTTTTCATACCATGACAGGTACTAATTTCTCCATGTAAAACAAATGAAGCTAAAAAGTTTAGTATTGCTTTTATTTTTAATAACATTTGCCACTTTTCATAAAAATCACTTGAACTGGGGAATTTAATTCCGTATTGAACTTTGTTGATTCTTTTCCCTTTCATTTGTTTTGTTTCGATTCCTTACTTCTGGAACTATACCATGGTTCTGTGGATTCTTCAGATTATACCCAAAGCACCTCTTTTCTCATTTTATTGAACTAGATTGACATCTTAGTCAACAATGGTGGACGATCCCAGCGTTCTTTGTTTGCGGACACCAGCCTGGATGTGTACAAGCTGCTAATGGACCTTAACTACTTAGGGACAGTGTCCTTGACAAAATGTGTCCTGCCTCACATGATCGAGAGAAAGCAAGGAAAGATTGTCACTGTCAACAGTATTATGGGTATCGTGTCTGCACCCCTGGCCAGTGGGTATTGTGCCAGCAAGCACGCTCTTCGGGTAAGGCTCCCAAACTCAGCTCTGGTAGAACTGATCCCTAAACATGTATATTGTTTATAAAGCTTGAGAACATTGAAACTGGGCATTGATGCTAAGAGACAGGAAGAAAAGCCTTGGTAGAGGCTGTCTCATCTAGATGCTAAAACAGACTTGAGCCCATGCCTTTGACTTACTCCACAAACATGTATGAACACCTACAATGGTGGATCTCCAGAACACATTATGGGAATATAAAGAAGCGGAGATAAGCCCTTTACCCTCAGGAAGTACACAGTCTAGCTACCTTGTCATCTTCACTTTATCCTTATTCCTACCACATCTTCAATCTGCAAATTGTTTGGTTGGGACAGTGGTTGGTTATACCAATCTCCGAACATGCCAATAGAATAGGATGCCCTTTGTCCCATTCTCCCCCACCCCCCTGCCCCGTTCTGTTAGCCAGTAATCTTTCTGCACTTCTCTGTGTCTTTTGTTATATTGTGCTGATAATCCTCTTACTATATTCTAGCTGTCCTTTCACCTATCTTACTATGTGTATTATCTATTTATTATTTTTATTACTCCCCTCCCTCTTCCTTCCTTCCCATCCCTGATTCCCATCCAACAATATTTTCTTCTTTATATTTACCTTTACTTAGCCTTTTTGTAATAGCATTCTTCTATATTGGAAGCAGGAGTGGCATCCACTTCCTAAATAACATGCCTCTGGAAACTCTATGAACTTTAATAAATGTCTGTAGTTGTAGAGAGGCTTAAGGCCTTTTTGTTCTTAAGGTCGCTATAAGTTGTGCTCAACTTGAAGGCAATCAACAACAACTCTTCTATAAAATTTGTAATTTTGTGACTTATTTGGCTCAGCATAATGTCCTCTGTTGTTATGTGCCTTTGAGTAGGAACTAATAGCTGACTCTCCAGAAGGTTTTCAGAAGTTGTGTAAAGGAGTGGATTGGATTGCCCATCTTTCTCCCTCAGAGCAGCTGGAGGATTTGAACCATTTGTCTTTGGATTGGCAGTGAAACTTCTTATCCACTAGTCTTCTAGATGCAACCGTGTTATGTAGTGTTTTCTGACAACATGCTTGATGAATGTATGTTGAATTTCACCATCTTTGCCTCTGAGGAGCATCTGGGTAGCACTTCCTCTATGGCAAATGCTTGTTCTTTTGGCAGTTCATGAGCTATTCAGTACTGTTCCCTAACACAATTCAGAGGCATCAGTTCTTCTTCAGTCTTCCTGAATCTAACTTCCTAATCTAACTTTTATATACAAACAAAGCAATTGAAAATATCATGATTTAGGTCAGGCATATTTTAGTCTTCAAAGTGGCATACAGTAAAAATTAAGTTGACAGGAATTCTCTATTTCTGTTAACTCCTTTATTTTTCTCTACCCCTCAAATATTGACACCTTATACCATTGTGAGTGATAAAAAAAATAAACTGGACCAGAGTGATTCTCAGTGCACTGACTCCTATTGGAGGTATGGGAAGTAGCTGGAGGGTGGTACATTAGAATCTCCATGAGTGTATATCAGGTATAATTCTAGTGTCTGCACATCATAAAAAGCACTGATGTGAGGAGCTGTCACTACCAAAGGGTTCATGAATCATTCATATGCAGAAAGGTGAGACTCAGTGAGGTGAGGCCTTCAGTCTTTAGGTTTAAATAGCCTTGTTGTTGATTGCTGTCAAACTGAGCACAACTCATAGTGACCCTATTAACAAAAGACCTGGCACCTTTCAAGAATTATTGTTTCTCAAAGTCCATAGTTTCCAGAGGCATATTGTTTAGGAAGTAGATGCCACTCCTGCTTCCAATTAAAATGTCTTATGCAGTTATACTATCTGCCCTTTATTTAGGTATTTCACTATATTTACTTTGATAAATGTGTTACTGTTCTTCATAAAAAGTTGTAGAAAAGTTATTTAATCCCTGTAGTGAACATGAAGTCTATGTCTACATTTACTTTTCCTTCTCCCCCCACCCCCTTTTTTAAAAATGTTTGGCCCATTAGGGTTTTTTCAATGGTCTCCGGGCTGAACTTGCAGCATATTACCCTGATATAACAATTTCTACCATTTGTCCGGGCCCTGTACAGTCAAATATTGTGAAGAATGCTGTAACAGAAGAAGTTATGAAGGTAAACATTTCCTGTTGGAAAGCACTTGAATATTTAGTATATCTGTTTTAGTGTCATATTACTACAACTAAGGATTTTTGTATTAGAATTCCTTTTGAATTATTCACAAAACTGAAGACATGAAACTATGATATTTGGCTGAATCCTTTAGTATCCAATTTTAATATAGATTTATGATATTGCTGTGCTAGTATCTATAATCAGTTGTTATGTGGTCTGTCAGTACTTAAGTAATCCCATTTCTGCCATTTCACAAATTTTAGCAACACTGAAAGGGCCTGTGTGGCTGAATTTTAGTCTATTACTAAATATTTAGTACATTTAGTCTTACTTGGATTTTTAGAGGGATTCTCTTGGAGTAGCTTAGGGAAAGCCTGTTGTATTATTTTACGTTAGCCTCGCTAAGGCCTCTGCTCACCTCAGCTTATGTATAATTCTCGATTTATCATATGAGCAACAAATGCCTCAGTAAGAAGCAAAAAGTATTATCCAGTATTAACTGCATCTCTCTCTAGACCTGCTTATCCCATGAAGATTGATAGGCATAAATATATATATA